GATTGAGTAGAAGTAATATAGAATTATAGAAAAATAGAAAATGGTTAAGTATTTATTGATTTTTTAGACCCCCACTCCACGGTAAAATACATCCTACAGTCGGCTGTACCGTGCGCACGGTACAACCGACCTTTTTTGGCTTTTACGGTTCTTCACTTCCCACCAGAAGAAGATCCTGCTTCGCACCAGAAGATTCTCACCACCGAACATCGCTTCGTCATTCGATCCAGATAGCAAAGCCCTAAATCAAAATCGTTTCTTGATTTTAGTGTTTGAATTTCGATCTGTAGTGCTTGAGTTGTGAATGATGGGTGCATATTGGATTATTGGGTTGTGACTCCTCTCCATTCCTTTTGTATCTGCCGATTGAACTTCTTAATTGGGGGTTTTGACGGTAAATTATACCGTACAACCGATCGTACGGTGAGCACCGTACAGCCGGGTATTTTTTAAATTAAATACAACTTCCGGCCTGAACTTTACTAGCTGCTCCTGCTTTCCTTCTGTTTTCCGTCGTTTCCATCCATTTCTTTCTTTTTTACCCTCCGTTTCAGACTTCAGTTCATCTTGTTTCTGCTTTCCTTCTCGTTCCTTCTGCTTTCCTTCTGGTTTTCTTCTGGTTCTAGTTCATTGTTTTGAATCTTTGTTTTGAATCTTACAACTTTTTTTTCCTTCTGCTTTGCTTCTGCCTTCTGGTGCCTGGTTTTGTACTTTTGTTTTGTTTTTATTTTTGTTTTGTTTTTTCCGTACGTTTCTCTAGTCCGGTGAAAAAACAATTTTTACATATTGTTGTTTTGTTTTGTTTTTATTCTTCGTTTCTTTTTTCTTTTTAGTTTGACAATCTTTGATTGCTTTAATTTTTTATTCAATTAAAATGAAATTGTAAAATATAAATATTATTTAATGTTGGAGTTTTTATTTCAATTAACCTTCTAACTTATTTTTTAATTTATGTATTATAAAATATCTTAAATATTAATACATTTATGTGTCTGCAGAGAAAGTGTGATCACATCGGCTTCCGTGGCTCTCGCAGCCACTTCATCACAATGAGTTTTATGTTAAATTCAAATGAGTATAACTCCTAAAATGAATGTGCAGAAACAAATGAGTTTTTGATTTTTTTCAATACTCATTTTGTAAGTTGTGTATGTTCATTTGGTACCGGTCTTCTGCTCATTATATTTTTACATAAGACTTGATTATAGACACGACATCACAGATCATGATGCCCAACCGCATAATTCCAATACTCAATAGAGCATGTTTGATGCTCAATAAAAATATCTTAATGCTCTACTGAAAAACTTATGACTTTCATATTAATGCTCATTTTGTTAATTACGTGTGCTCAATTGGTACTTCTATTATGCTCATTTTTAAAAATGTCCTAACAATGCATATTACAATACTCATTATTCGACTCATAATGCTCAGTATAATTTGTCCGATGCTCATTAAAAGTGTGTTAATGCTCATCTAACGTAACAATTGATTTTTACTGAAATTACGAAAATGCCACCATTTTTTAGTTGTGATTTCAGTTTTCTTGTAATAACATGGTGCTCATTATTAGACGGTTAATAATCATTCAAATTGAACTATTCTCAGTAACACTACACTAATGCTCATTTAGCATAAACCGTGATTTTCACATTAATTACAAAAATGCCATCGAATTATTTTGCTATTTTTCCCTTGGGCCTATTACTGGGTCGGATGTACGGTGCTCACTGTACAGCCGGATATACCATATAGATATTCGGGTTTTGACTCCAGTGTTGTGAGAAGACAATGTTGCTGAAGTGGAGAATTATACTGATTATAAATGAAAAAGGGTTGAACACATTAGAATGGACTTTTATGTTAAATTCAAATGAGTATAACGCTCAAAATCAATGAGCATACTGATATGATTTTTCTCTCACTTAAAATAGATTGTAATATAGTGGTGTAAGTACGAGAATCGTCTCCACAGGGACGGACAAAAGGGAATCAAGAATTAACTAAATTCAGCGATTAAAAAGAAATAAATAAAAATGCGCCGTGCGAGATTGGTTGCTGGAAAATAAAAATGCGAATAAAACGATTAAACTAGGGGGTTCTTTCTAATTAATGACGAAGGGAACAGGGATTGATTCTGGGGTAACCAGATTTCTGGCTGATCAGGCCTAATTACATGAAATTAATTCAATTGAGTCTAGCAAATCATTACTAAGTTCTTACTGCTCTCGCGGCCTAGAGTACAATAATTTAGGGGACCAGATTGATCTCTCATGCGATAGGATCCTAAATTATTGCCAAGACGAGCGAGCTTACGGCCCCTTAATCGTTACTAATCTCTTAGCGAACGATTAAGTGTGTGTGAATGTGTCTTAGAATAAATTAGATCTCTCTTAACTTATTCTACAATCAATTGTAATTCTAGCCGCGGTTCCAGGTTACAAAAGATATTAATTAAATTATTCAAACACAAATTAAACGCATTCATGCAATTAAACCTACAAGAATCCAACCAAAAATCATGATTAACCCCTTCATCAATCCCAAATCCCTAATTAAAACTACTCGCAATTCATAATTGAATAATCAACGGAATTGAGATGGATAAAAATAATTGTCATTAATTAAAAAGATAGAACTTACAAAGAATCCCTTAATCTTGAAGAACAAGGCTTGAAAAGCTCTCAAAAGTCGACATAGGGTTTATCTCTCTAAGCTCATCAGTCAAAAACAGACAAAACAGGGGCCTATTTATAGAAAAACTCAAAATCTGGCCGAAAATCAGCCCGCACGGTCGTCCGCACGCCGTGCGGGTCACCGCGCGTTTTTCCGTCTTCCGACTTTCGCTCCGCCCGCGCGGTGTGCGGGCGCCGCACTATGCAACCGCGCGGGTACTTCTGGGGGCTATTTCTGGACCGCGCGGTGTGCGGTTTCGGTCGCGCGGTGTGCGGTTCAGACCCCTCAACTTTTTGCTCTCAGAATCGCCCGCGAGGCGTGCGGAACCGCACCGCGGGGCGCGCGGACTGCTCTAGAACCGTTTTCTTGCTATTTTCTTCCCCGTTTGCTCCCGGATACTTCTTTAATCAATCCAAAGGCCGTTTCTTCATCAAATCTTCATCGTGAACCTCCCGGTGGCCTCCAAAAATCACAAATCTCTCTCGAATGTTCTCCAACTCTTCCCGATTGCTTCTCAAGCGCCGGTGCCGGACTCTAAATTCCTGAATTTGACTCAAACAACACAAAACTCGAACCAACGTCTAGTAAACATAACTTGAGCTAAAATTGAGACTTGTAACACCTTAAAGCTAGGAAAACCATCAAAAACTGATCCCAGCACGCATCAAATGCGTGTCTAAATACGGACTTATCACATACATAAATAAACTTTTGAATTTTCTATACTCATTTTGTGGGTCATGTATGCTCATTGGATCTCGAATGAGTTTTATATTAAACTCAAATGAGTATACGCCTAAAAGAAATGAACTCACACAAATTAATATTGGGCACATTGAAAATGAATTTTATGTTAAAATCAAATGAGTATAACGCCCAATCTCTAATTTAGGGCCCTTAGACGGTAACTCATCTAGTCCGGCCCACTTCAATGATCGTCGTTCTCCACTTATGCAAGAGTTGTCGGCGGCGGCGGTGACGACTAGTCAGGTTATGGGGATTACTCAGGTAGTGAACTATGGGAGCGAAGCCGAAGATGTTTAACCAAGTAAGGGAGGGCGGAGTCGAAGCTGCTTGGCTTTGATTCTTCCCATAAACCAGAGATAAAAGACCACGTCGAATCCCTTTCATTTGTTGCTTTGAATGGAAATATATGGAGAGAAGTGGGAGAAAGTGATGGGTGATAGTGATAAGGGATGGGTGAGTAAGAAAATGGGAATAATGTAACTCATATTTGAGTTGGAGGTGGGTGGGGTGGAAGATTAGAGGGGTAATGAGTAAGGGCAAACTTTTCACTTTAACCGTGTTTCTATACTTAAAATGGAAAATGGAAATCATTTTGATACAAGCCAAAAAGGAAATTTTGCAAAACAGATTGGGACGGGGGAGCATGAAAAATGTTTTTCTTTGATTTTCCAAAATGCTTTTGCAAAGTAATGCACATTTCAATGTTAAAAAAAATTGTTGTGTATTTATTTGAATTTTCGGTAATAAAAAATAAAATACGTTCAAGTAAAGTTTGGTTATGTAAAATAACTTCCCGGTTGAGTTTTAATCTGAAATTTGGTAGATATAATATGCACTTCACGGAGAACATTTTCACAAAGTTTCATAAAAAAATTCGTCCTGGATGCCCCTCAATTGAAAGAGGCCTAAAATTTCAACTTTTAGATCTACCTTACATGAACATTTACACACACACACACACACACACACACACACATATATATATATATATATATGGTTTTGGTTCAAATAAGAACACGATCTTATGAGAGAAATGAGAACGAATCTGGACCGTTAGATTTGCTTCAAGTGAAATTCAGTGTGCATTAGATGAAACTGTAATGTGCATTAGATGAATTTGAAATGTGCATCACAAAGGGTACGATAGAGTGACATTATGTGCAGTTGAATTGTGCATTACGTGAAATTGAAATGTGCACTAGGTGAAGCTGAAATGTGCAGAATAAAAAGTACGATGTGATGTTGTTTTTGTACTTTTTTCCGCACATATCAGTTTTATCTAATGCACACTTGAGTTTAAATTTTTATTTTGCACATTTCAATATCATTTAATGCACATTTCAGTTTCACCAAATGCATATTTTGGTTCAACATAATACAATCCAACGGTCCAGATTCGTTCTCATTTTTCTCCTAAGATCTGTTCTTACCGGAACCACTCCCATATATATATATATAGAGGGGTTTTCTCATGCGTCCGTCCGCACCCTTTTTCTGTCCGTCCAAAAGAATAATAGCCCTCTGATTCATTACACGGTTGAGATGCTCTTTTCATTAAAAACATAACACACCTCTTTCATTTTACGCCAAACCCATCTCAGCCAGATTAAAAATCTCTCAGCTCTCGTGCAGTTCATCCTTGTGGTCTGCAGCCTTCGTGCCGGAGAAGGAGCTTTGGTAAACCACAGCGATAAACAATCTCTCCGCCCCCGTACAGTTCACTTTGCATGATATCCAGTGCTTACATGCCTTCAAAGGAGCTCTGGTAAACCACCTGTGTCTCAGGTAAACAAAATTTGTTCCTTCTACTTTTGCTCTTTAAATCAACCGATGCTTTATTGTTTTCAATTGTTCAATTTTTTTAAATTCTCCTTCTTTTTGTGCTCTTTAAATCAACTGATGCTTGTTTTCAATTGTTTGATTTATTTTGAACTCTCCTCCTTGTGCTCTTAAAACCGCCCTACTCAGCTTAAATGTTTTCAATGGTTAAAATTAAATCCAGGTGTTTTGAATTTAGAAATTATTTTAGATTCAACTTTTGTATTTGGTTAGACCTGATTTTATCGGCTGATGCTGTGGTTGATTTATTTTGATTCTGTAATTGATCTTAAATTCATCTTTAAGGGAAGTAAACAAAAGTGAGATATATAAACGAAAATGATGAAATAAACTTATATTTATACTCTGTAATTGTCATATTTGTTAGGCAAATAATCATATATTGAGTAATACAATACTAAAATAAATGGATCCCTGGGCGATTGAATTTTGTTTAATATTTACTCATAAACTGAATTAACATATTTCATATTCTCTAAGGAAATTAGAATCATGGAATCGTCTAGACAGACAACAGCTTGTAGTTTGGCAGTCACTCATTTCATCCCCAACGTGCCGAGTCATAAAAAACCATATATTGGGATGACATTCGAAGACTTGGACGAGGCCTATAAATTTTACAATAGTTATGCTTATTTGGCTGGGTTCAGTGTGCGCAAAGATAACTTGAAGAAATGCAAAGACGGGACAGATAAGAGTAGGGTTTACCTTTGTTATAAAGAGGGTGCTGAAAAAAATCCAATGCAAGAGGTTGACACGGAACGATGTAGATATAATATTCGTACTGGGTGTAAAGCCATGCTTGGTGTTTCTAAAACCAGAAATCAGGAAGTGTTTAGTGTTTATCGATTTGATGAAGTGCATAATCATTGTTGTGAAACCCCAAGCAAGGTTCACTTGCTCAAATCTCATCGTACCGTGTCAGATGTCAAAAAGAAGCTTTTGTCAAGCCTACAATCAAACAATATCTCAATCTCTCAAGCTATGGGTGTATTCATGGCTGAATCTAGCGGTGTGGGTGATGTTGGATTTCTAGAAACAGATTTGAGAAATTATGTTAGAGATGAAAGTGTGAAAGTTAAGGGTCAAGACGCCCAATTATTTGTCGAACACTTCATATTAGAAAAAGAGCACAACCCATCTTTTTTTACAAGGTTAGAAAAGATAGTGAAAACAAGCTTGAATTAGCATTTTGGGCCGATCCTACATGTCGGCGCTCCTATCACTACTTTGGTGATACAATTGTTGTTGATGCAACATACAACACAAATACGTATGGCTTTCCCGTCACTCCATTTGTTGGAGTAAATAATCATTTTCAAACGGTGTTGTTTGGGTGTGCATTCATGAACAAAGAAAATTGTGAATCTTATGTTTGGATCTTAAAAGCCTTTTTGGAAGCAAAGCCTGGCCCTCCACCAAATGTTATTATCACTGACCAAGATCCAGCTTTAGCCAAAGCCATTAATTTTGTGCTGCCAAACATCTACCACCGCTATTGTATGTGGCACATTATTCGTAAGATCCCTGAGAAGGTGGGTGGTGTAATAAATTCTTTGGATGGTTTCAATAGAATTTATGGTATTATAAAATATTCCGAGACACCATATGAATTTGAAGCGGAATGGAAAAAGCTTGTTAATGAGGTTGGGTTGGAAGAAAATGAATGGATTTCTTACATGTTTCAAGTTCGGGACCATTGGGTTCCAGCTTATTTCAAGAATGTATTCGCAGCTTGTATGTCATCCACTCAAATAAGTGAAACAACACACTCTTTCTTGAAGAAATATGTGTACAAGGGGTGCGGTTTCAATGAGTTTGTTACTCGTTTTGATAGAGCACTGTCAAGACAGAGGGAGCGTGAGAACCAAATGGATCACAAGGATAGAAATGGGCGTCCTAAGCTTCAATATGGGACTCAAGTGGAGTTACAAATGGCAAATACATATACATCAACCATGTTCCGGGAGTTTCAAATAGGACTGCATAACTGTTTCACATACAGTTTGGATGAGAATGTGGAAGAGGGAGATAATATTGTTTTCAAGTTAACTTACAGAGGTGTCTCCAACGACATTGAAATAAAGAGAAGTCGTGTAGTGCATTTCAACCGTTTGACACAAATTGGTAGTTGTTCGTGCAAGCAGTTTGAGTTTATGGGTATACCATGTGCACATTTATTAAGGGTCCTAGATGGTATGAAAATATACGACATCCCTAGTTTTTACATTATGGACCGTTGGAAGAAAGGTCCAAGAAGAGAAATTGTAAGGGATCAGTCAGGCAATGAGATAAGAGAAGACCGCAAAAGAGAGTTCACTGGGGGAAATAGCAAAGCATATGATGCATTTCTTGGTGGTTACTATGATCTCATATCCGAGTCACCAGAAGACCAAGAATATGGGTTATCATTACTGGAAGAGTGGCGCAAAAAGTTCAACGATCATCTATCCCAAAAGTCAAGTGATAAAACGAGGCCAAGTGATAAAACGAGGCCAAGTAAAGGAAGTGAAGCATCATGTACGGTAGAATTTGTGGAGCCCGATCATGCGCGACATAAAGGTTGTGGGAAACGATTAAAGTCAGGCATAGAAAAGGGGACTTCACTGAACCGTTTGTGTCGTGTTTGCAAAGGTCATGGGCATGATAAGCGTAATTGTCCAAAACAAGCAAAATGGTAAGAAGTAATTCTATTTATGTTACATGTACTGTATAATGTTATATAAACTAAATTAACTGTGACTTTTTGTGTATTATTACAGGGAGGCGGCAAAGGACACAATGGAGGAACAAGTGTAATTGATTATTATGAGCAAATGTTGTGCGGTGTGGAGATTTCTTTATGTATGTTTAGCTTAAGTGTTTACCACTGTTACATTTCTGGTGTTTTGCTTGAAATGGAAATAGTTGTACTTGAGTTTTTTCATATTTCAGGATTTCACGACTTGAGATAATGGATGACTTGTTTATGTATTTATAGCTTGAGTGTTTATGTAGTTATGTATTGATATTTTTTAGTATTTGCATGGGAATTTAAGAAGCCTTAATGCATTCCACAATACAAAGAAGCAGTTCCCAAGCAACTGTTTTCAATAACCTCAGGCCTAAGAATGACATTTATCCCAACAAGCATATCAAACAACACTGCCAATTGTTCATAGGAGTTTGAATTGTGAGCTGTAAGTTCTATTTGTGGACTGCAGATTCCTCATTTTTTTTAACTCTATTTCTGGTTTTTCAAATTTCTGGTTTTTAACTCTATTTCTGGTTTTTCAAAATAGTACTCCTATCCCAGCAGTACTATTTTGTTTGATTTGTTTATGTGTTTGTTTATGTTTTTTGCTGATCAAGACAGTTCACTTAAAAGTGCTTGTACCACCAAATTTTGTTCATGGATTTTCCAGAAAGAATGAGTTCATAAATGAAATAACTGCTGCAATTGGCTTTCTACTGCTGCTAGATTTTGAACTTCTTACTGGTGAAGGTCTTCTTGGAGGAACAAGAGTGTTGGACTTCATTTATTCATTCTCCAGTTTTCTAAGATGAATTGCCATGTAGTTTAGGGACACTGTCTCATCTCACACATGCAGCAGCATATCCCATGGAAAGTAATGTAATCTAACTTCCAATGTCATCATAAACAGAAAACTGGGAGCAATTGTGATATTCATGCCATCACTTTTCAACTACAAATGATAGCAAATACATTTATTTGTGTTGTAAAAAAAGGTAAAATACCAACAACAAAACTAAATTAGTCACTTAAGAAATAAAAAACTAATTGGCATTTAATCCTGTAGTGCATTACATTTGACTCAACTTCTACTCGTTAAAATGAATACACTACATCTTTCATAGTACAACTTGCCTCATACAAATACAATGATGTTACTTCTACATTGCTAGTAACCACTGAAGAGTGATCGCGATTATAACAACTACGAAACAATACTTGATACATTTAAGTTGGTAAACCACTTCAGCATAACTGCTATTATCTTCTCGGCGGCTACCGTCATTTGATATTTGTATCAATTTCAGTAGAATTGATGCTTAAGTCATGAGCAATTTGGCATAAGCTATCCCGCCATATGAATATGCCACAACATCCACACTTGAAATACCAACATCCCTTGTTTGTACCCGACATTATTTCCTTCAATTGCATTGGACCACAGTAGTGACATGGGCAAACAAATTCTTCTACGAAGGCATTGCTACAAAAAAATTATACAAATGAATAAAACATCCTTGAAAAAATTTATACAACCTCATTCTTCTTTCAATTACATACTCATTTCGTAATATTAACAATAAAAAAACCAACAGCCTGTATTTGATTCAAATTTTCAGTAAATTTCTTTTACAAAAAAACCTAACCAGTACATTTAATAAAAAATTTAGAGCACAACTAGTCACTAAGAATTTAAAATCAGTCCTACAGTGTAATAATTAAGAAATTATAATCAGTCCTAAAGTGAAATCACTAAGAAATGAAAATCAGTCCTAACGTGAAGCACTAAATTTAGATTTTTTTGATTTGGAAATTGACTTCCGTTGAAGATCAATTACACCAGTTAAAACGATTTAACAACTTACGAAAAGTAAAATAATTATGAATTTAAAATCAGTCCTTTCAAGTCTTAACAAATACGAATTTTTTTAACCAATTGAAAGAATAACTTTCGGCTAATTTTTAGCTTCAAAGGAGAAGGAATACACTTTTGTATTACCTGACTATGGTGGCTTCTTGATTCGAAAGTCAATTTAAATATGAAGGCACGCCGGTACAGAAAGCTCCTTCGCCGCATCAAGACGGCAGACCACAAGGAAGAAGCGTGCAGGAGCGGTGAGTTTTTTCATCTTATTAATGCTGAGACGGGTTTGGCGTAAAATGAAAGAGGTGTGTTATGTTTTTAATGAAAAGAGCATCTCAACCGTGTAATGAATCGGAGGGCTATTATTCTTTTGGACGGACAGAAAAAGGGTGCGGACGGACGCATGAGAAAACCCCTCTATATATATATATATTTTGGTTCAGGTGAGAAATGCATCTAATGTGAGAAATGAGAATGAATCTCAGCCATTGGATTTACGAAGTTGCACTAAAATTGGCTTTATGTTGCAGTAATATTTAAATTTTGCACATGTTGCACTAAAACTGTTTCATGTTGCACTAATATTTGACGGTGTTGCACCGAAATAGCTTCATGTTGCACTAGACACGTGTAATACGGATTTTTCAGAAGTATTTACAGAAATGCCACCGTGCTAGATTGCATATTTCAGTGCATCATGAAGTGTCTTTTACTGCAACTTAGTCGAATCCAATGGCTGAGATTCATTCTCATTTCTCACCCAAAGGGGTCTTCTCACTTGAACCTTACCCTATATATATATATATATATATATATATATATATATATATATATATATATATATATATATATATCCCAAACTTTATGTAAAAAGTTATATAGCACCATGATCATAAATTTTTTTTGCAAATATAATTTTATGGTGTTAAGTGCATAAGTTAGATAATTCCTCAATCAGTGCACACAACACCAACATTTCATGATTTTCATGATTGTGTTGACATAGATGAAAAATTGATTTTATTTAACAAAAGAAATTCCCGTTTTTACACCCTTCCCCCATAGAAGATGGTTTATACAGACTAGCTCAATCAAAGAAGCTTATTCCCAAAATCATGTTCTTCGCTACGGTTGGGAGACCTATGATTGCTGACAGTTTGGAGGAGGGGTGGGATGAGAAAATATGAATATTTCCATTCACATACGAAGACAAAGCAAAAGATCATCACATCAAGCAAGAATATGGTTGTTGGGACTTTAGAAACCAAACCAACATTAAGTGTCACTAGGCAAGTAATAAAAGAAATGATACTCAAAACCCTACTGGCAGCAATCAAAGCCAATTATTGACCACACTCAGAAAATAGACAAGTGATCATTCAACAAGATAATAATAATAGGGCTCATATTGAAATACATGATGCAGACTTTGTTAAATCGGGATCAGATGATGGATGGAATATCCAACTACAATGTTAACCTCCCAACAGTCCAGATTTAAATGTATTAGACCTAGACTTCTTTAGGACTATTGATTCCACAAAGAATCAAAATGCCCCCAAAATAACATGGATTTAATACAGGCAATGCAAGCCTCATATGAGGAGCTCACACCTCAACAATTGAACAAAGTCTTTTCAAGTTATCAATATGTAATGGAAGAAATCTTAAAGAACAGAAAAGGCAAAAATTTCAAACTCAAACATGTGGGAAAAGACAAGTTACAAAGACAAAGGATGCTACCAAAAAATGTCCAAATCTCCCTTGACTTGTATGAAACAACTAAGACATTCATGGATGAACATATGGCAACAAAATCCACACATACAACTGAAAGGACTCAGTTCATACATGAAGATGAACAACATCTTCAAGTATGAAGTAATATACCCTTTTTATATACTCTTTTAATGTCTTTGTAAGTACAATGAGCTTATAAGTACAAGGTGGTGTACTATTTTTGTATGTATTATCACAGGCATGAGACTACAATTTTTTTATGTACCCATGCTACTATTGTACACTTTTTTATCTAAACAAAAGCAATGGAAGCATATTTTGTTGTACACTTGTCTACAAAACACCACATAATCATCACAGTTCACTTAGCACGAGCAAACACAAATAATCATGATCACAAGTTACATATCCTAGACAACAAGACCTCAGAATCAATACATATTTATCACAGTTCACTTAGCATAGGCAAACATGGATAATCATGACCACGTATCCGAGCCAACCAGACCTCATAATCAATTCAGAGTCATCACATATTCATCACAGTTCACTTAGAATAGACAAACACACATAAGGAGGATCACGTGATACATATGTTAGGTAACCAAGCCTCAGAATCATTACAAATTCATCACTGGTCATTTAGCATAGGCAAACACTGTTAATCATGATCACATGCTACATATCTTAGGCTAACACACCTCAGTCAGAGTCATCACATGTCACTTAGCATAGACAGACACACAAATCATGATCACAGGTTACATATCGTAGGCTAACAATACTCAAACTCATCTTAAGCAAGCACAACATACATTCATAAAGCAAAAAGGAGATGTCACATTCAAAGAGGTGAAATAGCATTCCCAAACACACAAACCCCCATCATAGCTGAATCTCAACCCTTAAATCATCACTTGTCATACAATTAGCCAAATCATTCAATCATCACGCAAGGTAGAGACAACACCCCCTTCATAATCATAAG